GGGATCATTTGAGGGGACTCTGTCTTTCCCCCACTCCCTGCATTGTATTCACGTAAACATTTATATTTGCAAAATTATCCCCATTTTACAAGCACTTTAGGAATTCATATTCTTTTTCCTTCATTCAACAAATATTTTAGTGGTTTCTATGTGTCAGGTGCTAAGCCATGTGTCCAGGAAACAGGTGGAAATTATGATTCCTGTGTATTGGTAACTCACATGGAGTGAGTTTAGTAGCAAGAGGGGAAAGAAAGCAATCATCACTGTTATTGTACAGGTGGCATGATTGAGATATGGAGGGATTGTGGCGGGAACACTGAGGAAGGACACTTAATTCACCCTGGGATGAGTGTTGTGGAGTTTCATCTTCAGAAGAGGAGATACTTCAGCTGAATAAACAAGAATTTGCCAGTTGGCCCCCATAAAATAGAGTTAAGGGGAACAGTAGTGCAAATTTGGCAATGTAGGGAACTACAGTTGATTCAAAAATGTGTGGTGGGGGAGTAGTGCCAGGGCTGGACTGAGTCACAAATCATTTACAAGCTGCACTGAGTGAAGGAAGAAAGAAAAGGGATTCGTACAGGGATTCAGTGATTTGTCTCTACCAAATGAAAGAATCGATTCGCACAACAAAATCTAAGCAGCCCTGTTACCCACAGCAACCCAAATCTTTTTTTTTTTTTTTGCCTCAGACCTGCCTCAAATAATATGACATTACTATCAACACATTAATGTTTAACATTAAAAATCCAACAGACAAAAACCAAAAGCCTATTCAGAATGTTGCACAACCGTCTCTTTGTGGGAAGAGGTTAAACACTGGGACACAAAGAAAGGTGTATATACAAAATCACCATTTCTACCAACGTAGCTCCGCCTCTGAAGGCGGAACAGGAAGGAGGCCCATTTCAAGGAAAATAAAGGAAGTGGCTTCACTGTTTTCAAAGAACTATTTCTGCCAACAGAGTGGATTCTTCTAAGGAATCCTTTTTATTTTTATTTATTTTTTATTTTTTATTTTTTTAAACATATATTTCTTTATTGGTTTCAGAGAGGAAGGGAGAAGGAGAGAGAGATAGAAACATCAATGATGAGAGAGAATCATTGATCGGCTGCCTCCTGCACACCCCCACTGGGGATTGAACCCACAACCCAGGCATGTGCCCTTGGCCAGAATCGAACCTGGGACCCTTCAGTCCGCAGGCTGACGCTCTATCCACTGAGCCAAGCCAGCTAGGGCAGGAATCCTTTTTAGGTGGAACATGGAAGAAAACTAAGAACAATTGGGGAGCTCTTGCTCTTGAAGCTTCTGCATCAGTGAAGAGGTTGTGAAGGTTGTCCAGTTAGGGCACCAAGGACTCAGTCCCATTCAGTAAGCATCATTAAGCATTCATTCATGCATTCATTCATTCAGCACATTTGTGTGACACTTTTGGGTGAACTATGATGTCAGGTGCCGTTGGGAGTAAAAGCCCATCGTACACCTTTAAAAGGCCTTCGAGTCTGAGGTCCAGAGTCAACCTTGACTCTATACTTGGGCAATCACTGTTTGACCCTCAATACCTACAACTGTAAAATGATGATAATTACAGCTCCAGTACATCATCACTGTGAGGATTAAATGAGATGACTCATGTGAAAGCTTTATGTAAACAGTACAGAACCTTGCAAACATTTGTAATAGGGTGAAAATTTATTCAAGGTGAATGTCCTTGGACGTTAAAGCAGAATTGATAGAAGTGTGTTGGTTGAACCCCTAATGCCTGGGATTGTACCAGGCATTTCTCAAGAAGAGAGTTGTGTGGTCTCTAGGGAAGGTAAACCTCACCCCTCTTAGGGTTTCTGCCTAGAAATTAGAATTAAATTGCCATAAACAGATGACCAAGAGCAAAGCAAACAGATCTTTACATGTACAGGGGAGCAGTGCATAGGAAATTGAAGGCCCAAAGAAGCAGTTAGAGCTGGACATTTATATACTAAGGTAGACAAAGAGTAGTAAATAGTGACAACGCGACAAGACAAGGGGGCTTGAGTTCTGGTAGTTAACACATTGCGGAACAGTAGTTTTATTGCTAGCTTTACCAGTGGCCAGATAAGTTTCTATTGAATGAGCACAAAAAAATGTTTTAGATAAATGTTAAAGGCATGCTTTAAAATTAATACCCATTGCATTTTGAAGTTATTTATTAGATGTTCTTACAAGCTAATATCTTTTTAAAGTATGATACTTTGTAAAACACTGTGTAATATGAAGCGAGAATTCTCATGGTCCATCCGCAATGTGTTAATTGTGAAGTGACTAGGAAGACAAGGGTCAGTTTAACAAGGTTTCTATAGATTTCCCTCATCCTTGACTTCCCTCTCTGGTGATCAGAATGTTTCTCTCCTTCTGGTAGATGGAGTGCATCTTTCACACTGGAGTTTCATTTGCCTTCGGGAAGAAAAAAGAAGATGAGCCTGCCCTTCTTGCATCTGAAATTTTTCAAGTGCTTTTAACTCGAAGTAATTCTCGTGCCCAAGTGGCATGTTTTGGGTTGGCATAGTCTGCCACCCTTCAGGTCAAATACATTTGGGAAATGCAGGATGATACAAAGTAAAACACAGTTTTCAGTCCTGTAAATGCTTCATCCGTTTCAAGGAGAGCGACTACATTGTGTTTCTTCCCCTAGGTCAATCCGACCTTGTATTCTATACCCACCCCACCCCACACCAGCATCTCTAGGACCTAGAGATGAACAGAACCCACTTTGGAAAAGACTGCTCTCCAGGGAGAAAAGTATTACCTTTATTTCAAGTTATAATCCATCGGCCTCTCAAAAAGCTGAGCTTTTTGTCAACAGATAATCTAGGAATTCACTCAACAACCTTACAGGTAGCGTTAAGACCCCACCACGGGAGGCAAAAGGGACACGGGCCAGTCAGCTCCTCGCCAGGGCCCTCGACTCCAGCATAGGATGGGGACAGGGCCCTGGCAGGGGAGCCCGTTAGTATTCCTTTCAGCGAGCCTCCTGCTGGCAAGGTGGTAGTAGATGCAAAACCACAAAAGCGAAGAGATGCGCTGATGCTCAAGGCGTTATAGTTGGGAATAAACACTAAGTCTAGTAACTAAGCCAAGGTTCTCCGCTTCCAAGAAAAGGTGCAGAAACATCTCTGACAAGAGAGACTGCTCCTTCCTTCACCGTTCAAAGAGGCTCATCCGGCCAGTGCGGTCCCTCTAGTCCCCTTCTATCCTTTATCTCTATTCTGATCCCTCAAAAACACTCCAAACTCAGATGCCTGGCTTCATCTCAGTCCTTTCCAAAGGGGAGTAGCTGCGAAGCTGGGGCCTTGAAGAGGCCAAGAATGGGGAGGGAAAAAATAATAAATAAAAATGAATGAGTGGACGGCGCAGGCGCAGTGTGCTCAGGTGCCCTGGCCTGCAAGCCCCCGCCGGCCCCGCCCCCGGCGCGCACCTCCCGAGGGGACGGGCGGGGAGGACACGGGAAACGGGGCGGGACCTCGGGCGCTGCGGCGCGGTGACCCGAGTCACATTCCCCCGGGGCAGCGACGGCAGGGCGCCCACTGCCCGGAGCAGGTAACCCGCCCGGGGCCGCCCGGGAGCGCAGAGTGGAGCGGGGCGGGCGCCCCGGGAGCCTTGCGCGGGGAGGGAGCCGGGGCTCAGGTGCGCTGTCGGGGCGCTTCCCCGGGCGCGCGGGGGCGCGGGGTCCAGCCGCCGCTGCCCTGGCTCCGGGGTCTGGCTCTCGGGGTTGGGGGCGGGGGTGAGAGCGTCCCGGGCCCCAGCGAGCAGACCCCTCGCCTGGTGCCCCGCGGGCTGAGTGCGCCGCGACTGCTCTGCAGGTTTTCTTTTTTGTCTCCAACTTTTTTTTTTCTTTCAATGTCGCCTTCCTTGGGGCCCCGGGTGACTATTCCCGAGCCTCCTCAGCGTCGCTTGCTCCCCGGAGGCCGGGGTTTGGGGTGGTGTTGGGGGGGTAGCTTAGGGTCCCGGCCGGGAGGGCACTGGCGCGCCCTGCGAGCTGGGTGGGCTGTGGGATCCCCGGCCGGAGGGAGGGAGACCCCGGCCCGGCCCTTCCTGAAGCTGCGAAGGGGTGTTAAAATGCCGCTTTCCTGTGGTTTTAGCAGAACACGAGTTATCTACCCAGCCAGGTTTTAGATTTGTCATCTATTTCTTCCACCTTTTTCCCCCTTTGCTATCACTGTGGATGGATTGCGGGGTATATTGCACACAGACGTCAGGTATAGGTAAGATAGATGCCAAGTCAAAAAAGTTTAGAATATTTAAAATACAGCATGAGAAAGGATTGCTTTTGAATTTAAAATATTACACTGATTCTAACTCCAGGTGGGCAGTTAATAGAGTTGGGGGGGGGGGACTTAAAAATATTGAGAGTTAATAACAACACCCCTATTTACCAATTTAATATTTTGTGATGTAACGTTATCATGGTTAAAAAATGTTTTTTTTTTAGGAGGAAATGTTGATTTTACTTGCTTTTGAGAGCTGGAATTCGAAATTTGCTTTTTAATTATCTTTTGTATTTAGTAGTTTTTGCTAATGACAATGAGTTACCTTTGTAACTGAAGAAAGGACATCATAAAAAATTTGCTCCTTTTCAACCCTTTACGAAAAAAAATTTTAAGTGTCTTGTATTTTTTTTTGGCTCCTGTTGAGTTATAATAAATAATTCATTTCATGAATTTAATTTACAAATAAAACTAACACATTGATAGACTAATTCAGTTTGAGAGAAAATGAGTTTGAGATTCTCACAAGACATCTGGCATTGCTGTCCAGCTGGCATCCTATCCTATATAATAAAGAGCTAATATGCTAATTAGACTGAACAGCTGGATGACCCTCCGGAGGACTTCCCAGGTCGAAGCCGGGGCTGTGAGGGCCGAGCCCCTTGCACGAATTATGTGCATCGGGCCTCTAGTTTTAATATATTGGTGTGGGGATTTTCTGCAGTCAGGAGCAGAGTTGTAGAAGTTGGAAGCATCTGGATGGTGGATGTTAATTCTGTGAGAGTGGAAGAAACCATTCAAATAAGAAGAGTAAGAAGGGAGGGAGATCGAGGATGGGACGTACCGATATTTAAGTGACAGGTAGGCACAGTGAAGGAAAGGAGGAGCCATCAGGGAAGGAGTGAAATTAGCGACAGAGGCGTCATAGAAACCGGGAGAGGGAAGAGGCTTAATGAGAGGAATCTCAGAGTCAAATGAGTCAGAAGAATCAGGAAGATAGGAGCTGATAAAGTGCCCATTGGCTTTGCTAATAAGGAGGGGGTCATCGATCTCAGCAAACATAGTTTAAGTGAAATGATTTGGATGGAAGCCAAATTTGAATGAATTTGAGGAGTAAATAGAAGATGAAGAAATAAAGATAGAGGGTAGTGAGTCCTTACTTTGAGAAACAAAGATTAGAAGTGACAGAGTGGGAGAAGGCAGTTTATAGTCAGATTGGAAAGAATAGAAGGAAAATGCCTTTATGTTAAAGTGTCTCTCACAGCATTGTTCCTCTCTCATGGCCAAGTAGCAAAAGCTGAGAACAAGTAGCTGAGCACATTGATAGAACTACAGTGTTTATAAGAACCTGTTTTATTTCAAATGCTGAGCGCCATTTTGGTGGTATTTTGGTCTGTTGGGTTCAAGTGCTGTTATCAGTGTTCAAGTCATATTGTAGCCAACTATTGGGTAGTATTTCACCTGAGTACATGGATACTCCCAACTTACTTTTTAAAAAATGTTATTGTTGACAGTATTACAGATGTCCCCCATTTCCCCCTCCTTTGCCCAACTTACTTTTTAAAAAATATTACTGATTTCATAGAGGAAGAGAGAGGGGAGAGAGAGATGGAAACATCAATGATGAGAGAGAATCATTGATCAGCTGCCTCCTGCACGCCCCCTACTGGGGATGGAGCCCACAACTCGGACATGTGCCCTGACCAGGAATCTAACTATAACCTTTTGGTTCACAGATCAACACTCAACCACTGAGCCATGCCAGCCGGGCTGCCCAACTTACTTTTAACTCATGTGACTCTTTCATGTATATCTCAGTGACTCTTCTAAAATTCTTATGGAGAAATCATGGTTTTACTAAATCAGAATCCATGAGGTATACATCAGTTAGGGCCTTTGCTTCAATAATTATTATGCATTCAAGAGAAAATGCTCTTTGATTAAAATTTTTTTGTAATGACTTCAGTCTCCATTGAACGTTTAATGTTTTTGTTATTCAGACAAGTAGTTTTATATGTATCTTACTTAGGAATATGCAAAAAATGGTTAAAATGGAAAGGGCCAATAATCAAGGGTCTACAACAGTGGTTCTCAACCTTCTGGCCCTTTAAATACAGTTCCTCACGTTGTGACCCAACCATAAAATTATTTTCGTTGCTACTTCATAACTGTAATGTTGCTACTGTTATGAATCGTAATGTAAATATCTGATATGCAGGATGGTCTTAGGCGACCCCTGTGAAAGGGTCGTTTGACCGCCAAAGGGGTCGCGACCCACAGGTTGAGAACCGCTGGTCTACAAGGTTGTAGAGCAACTGGAACTCTCATACTCTGCTGGTAGTAGTGTGAATTGGTACAGTCATTTTACATAACTTCCTGGCAGTATCTACTAAAGTGAAATATATGCATAAATTATGCCCAAAATATACCTGATAAATTCTAGAAAATGCCAATTAGTGTAAGTACAGAAAACAGATCAGTGGTTACTTGGGGAGAGGGACAAGGAAAAGTGAGGGGGAATGGGTTGAAAAGGGGCATGAGGAACGTTGGGGGGGTGGATGTATTCATTTTCTTGATTGTGAAGATGCTTTCATCAGTGTATACATAATGTCTGACTCATTTAATTGTCCATTTTAAATATGTGCAATTTACTGTAAGTCCATTGTACCTCAATAAAGCTATAAAGAAGAGTAAATAAAAAAAGAGAGTGGAAGAAGACACATCATTTGAGAAGAAATATACAGTTGACCCATGAACAAAGTGGGGCTTAGCAGTGCCCACCTCTCATGCAGTTAAAAATCCAGATATAAATTTGACCCCTCCAAAACTTAACTGCGAATAGCCTACTGTTGCCTTATTGATAACATAAACAGTAAATTAACAAACACATGTATGTTATGTGTATTAGATACTGTATTCTTGCATTAAAGTAAGATAGAAAAAATGTTATGAAGGAAATCACAAGGAAAATACATTACAGTATTATTGAAAAAAATCCATGTATAAGTGAACTCATGCCATTCAAAACTGGTGTTGTTCAAGGGTCAGTTGTCTTTATTTCTTTTAAATATTGTAGTCATTTCAGAATGATGGAATTATTGATATTTTTATTTTCTTCATATAGTCCTCTATATTTTCTACCACAGCCATGTATCTACTTAATTTTTTAAAAATATATTTTATTGATTTTTTTTACAGAGAGGAAGGGAGAGGGATAGAGAGTTAGAAACATCAATCAGCTGCCTCCTGCACACTCCCTACTGGGTATGTGCTACCAAGGTACATGCCCTTGACCAGAATTGAACTTGGGACCCTTGAGTCCTCAGCGACGCTCAGTCCACTGAGCCAAACC